ACATTATAATTATTATGCTCTGAGGTCTGTTAAAAATGTACATTCTAATTATAATGCTCTTAGGTCTGTTAAAGATGTACATTATAATTATTTTGCTCTGAGGTCTGTTAAAGATGTACATTATAATTATTATGCTCTGAGGTCTGTCAAACATGTACATTCTAATTGTTATGCTCTAAGGTCTGTTAAACATGTACATTATAATTATTATGGAAAGAATTATTCTTTAATAATCGCTTTCGATTTCTTTGCTATAAATTCTGAAAATCGCATGCTAGCATAAGCTCGGTCTCTGGGAAACCTACAACAGAAGTGAGCTGTGTACTTCCTGGGACATTGCTGAAGCCGGCGGTCTCGTTGGTTGACGAACTTTAACGTCCTCTGTGTAACATATCATAAATGTAATTCATTTCAAACATTAAGCGACAATAAACTGCCGTGTCATCATACAACCTTTTACCTGTACATTATAAAATTCCAGGAAAACATGACGTCAACTGAGAAAGCTACTTGCGGCCAATGTAACTACACTGTGTTGTATGACATCAGTCCGGCTTGACGACGGTAAAAGGATCTATACCGAAACGCCGCGTCATAATGCTTAGAATAAAGAAGTTGTCATCCATAAACATATCTTGTCTTTACTATTATGTTATTATATTTGCATTAAGTATGTGCGTAATTAACAGATGGAATGTTTTTAATATATGTTTCTCTCTACGTTGATGTTTAGTCGTGTCTAGTCATTCATTTTCCACACTAAACCATGATAAACGCAGCGACGAGATCGGTATCTGCTCCACGTGAGCAGCCATGGACGGAAGGACGATGAGGTCATCAGAGCATGACTGGGTGTTGGACGGTGGATGTGTGACACAGTAGCTGACAGTCGTGCGGCAGTCATGGATACCCTCGCTCACACAGGGAGGTGCTGGATCCTTCTGATTGTCTGCGTCCTACACTCTGTGGCAGGTAAGAGAACTGTGATGATTGGTGCAACATGTTATCAGTACTGACTGTTGAGACTATGTATCGAACTGAGTATCTGATTATATGTGGCCATGTCCTCAGTAACATCAGCAAACATCAGATTCACGGTTAAAAGCAGATACAGAATACCTCAGCCAGAATAATTACCAAAACCAGAGGGTTTGCCCACATCACTCCAGTTCTAAAACAACCCCAATTCTTGTCCATTTTATCACCGATCAACTTTAAGCTGTGCTCATCATCATCAATATTAGTAGTAGTAGTAGTAGTAGTAGTAGTAGTAGTAGTAGCAGTAGTAGTAGTAGTAGTAGTAGTAGTAGTAGTAGTAGTATGATGTCGCAATGGGAGTATCTATGATCATTGTCATGTCGTAATGGCGGCATCACAACGTAGAACGTATCTTGGACAAGCCGCCATGGCCTGGACACTCGGTTGTGTGTCAATAGCAGTGATGCAGTCAGTGTGAAACACAGCCGTCTTCACCACATACCTGCCTGTGTCAGGCTTGACGTGTCACACGACCCCACAACCCCGCTTGTCTCTCACACACACTGACACAAGACTTGGTGTAGAGTATCCAGCACACACACACTGACACAAGACTTGGTGTAGAGTATCCAGCAAGTACACACACACTGACACAAGACTTGGTGTAGAGTAGCCAGCAAGTACACACACACTGACACAAGACTTGGTGTAGAGTATCCAGCAAGTACACACACACTGACACAAGACTTGGTGTAGAGTAGCCAGCAAGTACACACACACTGACACAAGACTTGGTGTAGAGTATCCAGCACACACACACTGACACAAGACTTGGTGTAGAGTATCCAGCAAGTACACACACACTGACACAAGACTTGGTGTAGAGTAGCCAGCACACACACACTGACACAAGACTTGGTGTAGAGTAGCCAGCAAGTACACACACACTGACACAAGACTTGGTGTAGAGTAGCCAGCAAGTACACACACACTGACACAAGACTTGGTGTAGAGTAGCCAGCAAGTACACACACACTGACACAAGACTTGGTGTAGAGTAGCCAGCAAGTACACACACACTGACACAAGACTTGGTGTAGAGTAGCCAGCAAGTACACACACACTGACACAAGACTTGGTGTAGAGTAGCCAGCAAGTACACACACACTGACACAAGACTTGGTGTAGAGTAGCCAGCACACACACACTGACACAAGACTTGGTGTAGAGTATCCAGCAATTACACACACACTGACACAAGACTTGGTGTAGAGTAGCCAGCAAGTACACACACACTGACACAAGACTTGGTGTAGAGTATCCAGCACACACACACTGACACAAGACTTGGTGTAGAGTATCCAGCAAGTACACACACACTGACACAAGACTTGGTGTAGAGTAGCCAGCACACACACACTGACACAAGACTTGGTGTAGAGTATCCAGCAAGTACACACACACTGACACAAGACTTGGTGTAGAGTAGCCAGCACACACACACTGACACAAGACTTGGTTGGAGTAGCCAGCAAGTACACACACACTGACACAAGACTTGGTGTAGAGTAGCCATCACACACACACTGACACAAGACTTGGTGTAGAGTATCCAGCAAGTACACACACACTGACACAAGACTTGGTGTAGAGTATCCAGCACACACACACTGACACAAGACTTGGTTGGAGTAGCCAGCAAATACACACACACTGACACAAGACTTGGTGTAGAGTAGCCAGCACACACACACACTGACACAAACTTGGTGTAGAGTAGCCAGCAAGTACACACACACTGACACAAGACTTGGTGTAGAGTATCCAGCAAGTACACACACACTGACACAAGACTTGGTGTAGAGTAGCCAGCAAGTACACACACACTGACACAAGACTTGGTGTAGAGTAGCCAGCAAGTACACACACACTGACACAAAACTTGGTGTAGAGTAGCCAGCAAGTACGTACACACTGACACAAGACTTGGTGTAGAGTATCCAGCACACACACACACTGACACAAGACTTGGTATAGAGTAGCCAGCAAGTACACACACACTGACACAAGACTTGGTGTAGAGTAGCCAGCAAGTACACACACACTGACACAAGACTTGGTGTAGAGTAGCCAGCACACACACACTGACACAAGACTTGGTGTAGAGTATCCAGCAAGTACACACACACTGACACAAGACTTGGTGTAGAGTAGCCAGCAAGTACACACACACTGACACAAGACTTGGTGTAGAGTAGCCAGCAAGTACACACACACTGACACAAGACTTGGTGTAGAGTAGCCAGCAAGTACACACACACTGACACAAGACTTGGTGTAGAGTAGCCAGCAAGTACACACACACTGACACAAGACTTGGAGTAGAGTATCCAGCAAGTACACACACACTGACACAAGACTTGGTGTAGAGTAGCCAGCACACACACACTGACACAAGACTTGGTGTAGAGTAGCCAGCAAGTACACACACACTGACACAAGGCTTGGTGTAGAGTAGCCAGCAAGTACACACACACTGACACAAGACTTGGTGTAGAGTAGCCGGCACACACACACTGACACAAGACTTGGTGTAGAGTAGCCAGCAAGTACACACACACTGACACAAGGCTTGGTGTAGAGTAGCCAGCAAGTACACACACACTGACACAAGACTTGGTATAGAGTAGCCAGCAAGTACACACACACTGACACAAGACTTGGTGTAGAGTAGCCAGCAAGTACACACACACTGACACAAGGCTTGGAGTAGAGTAGCCAGCAAGTACACACACACTGACACAAGACTTGGTGTAGAGTAGCCAGCAAGTACACACACACTGACACAAGACTTGGTGTAGAGTATCCAGCAAGTACACACACACTGACACAAGACTTGGTGTAGAGTAGCCAGCACACACTCACTGACACAAGACTTGGTGTAGAGTAGCCAGCAAGTACACACACACTGACACAAGACTTGGTGTAGAGTATCCAGCAAGTACACACACACTGACACAAGACTTGGTGTAGAGTATCCAGCACACACACACTGACACAAGACTTGGTGTAGAGTAGCCAGCAAGTACACACACACTGACACAAGACTTGGTATAGAGTAGCCAGCAAGTACACACACACTGACACAAGACTTGGTGTAGAGTATCCAGCAAGTACACACACACTGACACAAGACTTGGTGTAGAGTAGCCAGCAAGTACACACACACTGACACAAGACTTGGTGTAGAGTATCCAGCAAGTACACACACACTGACACAAGACTTGGAGTAGAGTAGCCAGCAAGTACACACACACTGACACAAGACTTGGTGTAGAGTAGCCAGCACACACACACTGACACAAGACTTGGTGTAGAGTAGCCAGCACACACACACTGACACAAGACTTGGTGTAGAGTAGCCAGCAAGTACACACACACTGACACAAGACTTGGTGTAGACTATCCAGCACACACACTGACACAAGACTTGGTGTAGAGTAGCCAGCAAGTACACACACACTGACACAAGACTTGGTGTAGAGTATCCAGCAAGTACACACACTGACACAAGACTTGGTGTAGAGTATCCAGCAAGTACACACACACTGACACAAGACTTGGTGTAGAGTAGCCAGCAAGTACACACACACTGACACAAGACTTGGTGTAGAGTATCCAGCAAGTACACACACTGACACAAGACTTGGTGTAGAGTAGCCAGCAAGTACACACACTGACACAAGACTTGGTGTAGAGTATCCAGCAAGTACACACACACTGACACAAGACTTGGTGTAGAGTATCCAGCAAGTACACACACACTGACACAAGACTTGGTGTAGAGTAGCCAGCACACACACACTGACACAAGACTTGGTGTAGAGTAGCCAGCACACACACACTGACACAAGACTTGGTGTAGAGTAGCCAGCAAGTACACACACACTGACACAAGACTTGGTGTAGAGTAGCCAGCAAGTACACACACACTGACACAAGACTTGGTGTAGAGTAGCCAGCAAGTACACACACACTGACACAAGACTTGGTATAGAGTAGCCAGCAAGTACACACACACTGACACAAGACTTGGTGTAGAGTAGCCAGCACACACACACTGACACAAGACTTGGTGTAGAGTAGCCAGCAAGTACACACACACTGACACAAGACTTGGTGTAGAGTAGCCAGCAAGTACACACACACTGACACAAGACTTGGTGTAGAGTAGCCAGCAAGTACACACACACTGACACAAGACTTGGTGTAGAGTAGCCAGCAAGTACACACACACTGACACAAGACTTAGTGTAGAGTAGCCAGCAAGTACACACACACTGACACAAGACTTGGTGTAGAGTAGCCAGCAAGTACACACACACTGACACAAGACTTGGTGTAGAGTATCCAGCAAGTACACACACACTGACACAAGACTTGGAGTAGGGTAGCCAGCAAGTACACACACACTGACACAAGACTTGGTGTAGAGTAGCCAGCACACACAGACTGACACAAGACTTGGTGTAGAGTAGCCAGCAAGTACACACACACTGACACAAGACTTGGTGTAGAGTAGCCAGCAAGTACACACACACTGACACAAGACTTGGTGTAGAGTATCCAGCAAGTACACACACACTGACACAAGACTTGGTGTAGAGTAGCCAGCAAGTACACACACACTGACACAAGACTTGGAGTAGGGTAGCCAGCAAGTACACACACACTGACACAAGACTTGGTGTAGAGTAGCCAGCACACACAGACTGACACAAGACTTGGTGTAGAGTAGCCAGCAAGTACACACACACTGACACAAGACTTGGTGTAGAGTAGCCAGCAAGTACACACACACTGACACAAGACTTGGTATAGAGTAGCCAGCAAGTACACACACACTGACACAAGACTTGGTGTAGAGTAGCCAGCAAGTACACACTCACTGACACAATACTTAGTGTAGAGTAGCCAGCAAGTACACACACACT